GAAATCTCCATATTTACCTTGTTATTATGGGGGACAATTCCTCTACATCTGTCATTCTGCTATACCTCACGACATTCTGCTCCCTAACTCTGATATGTAACCAGGATCGCTTGTATATTTTCACCATCTAAATCTTGCAGTTACACTTGAATTTAATCATTCCATGATTTAAATTGATTTATTTATCAGCTTTGCTCGATCAAATGATGCTTACTTACAGTTGAAGAATAAGTTGGTCTAATCAGATTTTTCCCATTTCCTGGCAGTCATCAGCTTTTTATTCAGTCTGCTGTGATTGGAAGAGTATTTGCAAACAAGCAAGTTTTTATTAATTTAGAAAAGTCAGAAGGTGACTTTGACATTTGTGGCAAGAAAACAGAGACTTTTTGCAGTTTGACAGTAAACAACACTCCTCAATTGAACAGATTTAGTTTGTCTGATCAGATCATAAATACCAGCCAACTATACATTCAAACTGATCAGTTGCAGATAAGTATAGCAGGTGATAAGAGCACCTCCATTGTCATATGCACAGCTGTTGGTATTTGTCTTTGTATAAATTCTTTCAATTCTAATTTAAGCCAAAATTTAAATCCCTGTCCTGTTTCAAATATTTCAGATTTTGATTTGTTTGTTTAAAAAGATAACATACTCTATAAAATAGCTTAAGTTACATTCTACGATGTAACAGATTCTTAGCTACTTGCAATTTGCAAATTTATCTCTGATATTCACTGATGTTTTGAGCAGTTTTTAATTTGAGCTTTGTCAAATCAAAATTTAGTCAAATCCAAAGCACACTTATGCTAATCTTCATGTCATGGCGTATATGTTCATATACCACTTAAATGCATGGATGTTCTATATAGCCATGCATAATACTGATTATTATGATATTGTGATATTCATATTCATTAGCATCATTTTAAGTTTAGCTATAGTTTAATAATTAATTATCTGAGGGTTGGTTTGTTGTAGAATGATTTTTTTCTTCTACAGTTGAAGCAATCTTTCAAATTATACCTGGTGATGCAACTGTGTGTGTCTTTTGAAAGTTCAAGTGTCGACACAATTCTTTCTCCTTTTCTTGTATCAGTTTGCAAATGTTGAATAACATTTTTTGTTGGTGCAAGTACAGTTAAGGGTTGATATATCCACCAGCAAGTATTTTCAAAATGTTTTATTGGCACTTAAGAAAATATAGTTTAATGCTCCAATTCAGTTTTTTTAAATTAGGTTGAAAGTTGGATTAACCACTTAGATTAAGTGCCATAAGTGTATATGGTTAATAAGAACCAGAGCTGAAGCAGTCTTTTAGAGTGTTGATCAGTAAGTTTGGACCTGTGGCTACACTGTCAACAGCACTGTTGACTATGATTTGAGCTAGAAAGACAGAAACAGGTCCTTTCCCTTAATTCAGTGACACTCGGTGGCCCTGGAGAGGCAGAGAATCTTAATTGAAGATGGACTTTGTTTTAACTCCAGCTGTTCACCAGTCTTCAGATGTTTTGAGTTATAATAATAATAATAAACTTTATTTTATATAGCGCTTTTAAAGGTGGCTTCTCAAAGCGCTTTACAGGATGACAATAACAATAAATAAGAAGAATACAACAATAAATAAGAAGAATACACAAGATAAGACACAATTACAATTACAACAATACAATAATAACAATAGAGGTAACCGTGGAAGGTGGTACTAAGAAGAGCAGAGGGGTGAAGAATGGGACCAGTTAAGAAAAGGCTTTTCTGAAGAAGGTTTTGAGTCTGGATTTGAAGGAGTTTAGAGAAGGTGACTCTCTGATATCCTTGGGCAAACTAGTTCCAGAGCTTGGGGGCATAACAGGATAAGGCCCTGTCACCCATACAATGTAGACGGGCTTGGGGGACAGTAAGGAGGGCAGAATTTGAAGAACGGAGGTTGCGAGGTGGGGAATAGGGCGATAATAGATCAGACAGGTATTGAGGTGCCAAGCCATGTAGAGCCTTATAGGTGAGCATGAGGATTTTAAAGAATTTGACCGGAAGCCAGTGCAAGGACTCCAGAATAGGAGTAATGTGAACACTTGCACTAGACCTGGTCAGGATTCTGGCTGCTGAATTTTGGACGTACTGCAGTTTGTTCAGGGTAGATTTAGGTACCCCAGCGAGTAGAGCATTGCAGTAGTCAATTCGAGAGAAAACAAATATGCTGATCAGCTTTTCAGCCACAGTTAATGATAGTATAGGGCGTAGTCTTGCGATATTTCTAAGGTGAAAAAAAGCTGTTTTGACAGTATGCTGCACATGTGGGTTGAATGTTAAGCCAGAATCTAATATAACCCCAAGGTTTTTCAATTTTGATTGAAGCTCAAGTACAGAGCCATCTACAGATAGGGTTACAGGACTGGCTTTACGAATTTGATGGGGGGTACCAATAAGCATGACTTCAGTCTTGTCGCAGTTAAGATGAAGGAAGTTTTGAGTCATCCAAATTTTTATGTCAGAGATGCAATTAGATAGAATAGAGACAGCCACATCAGTGTCAGGTTTGGTATGGATGAATTTTCGAGTATCGTCAGCGTAAAAATGAAAGCTGAGGCCATGTGATCTTAAAAGCTGACCAAGTGGGAACATGTAAATGCTGAAGAGCAAGGGGCCCAGTATTGAGCCCTGGGGGACACCAGACTTAACAAGACCAATTTCAGACCTGGACCCATTGAGAGAGACAAAGTGACAGCGATCAGTGAGGTAAGATTTGAACCATTTCAGAGCAGTGTCAGGAACTCCAAACACAGTCTCGAGACGAGAAAGAAAAATGTTATGGTCAACAGTGTCAAAGGCAGCACTGAGATCAAGAAGGATGAGTATGAAAAGAGAACCAGAATCGTAAGCTATTAGATCGTTGGTGACTTTGACCAGGGCAGTTTCTGTGCTGTGAAGTTGACGGAAGCCAGATTGGAGGGGTTCGAAAAGGTTGTTTTCTACTAAAGAAATCTAAGAACGTGTTGCAAAGTTGTGATGAGGCAGGTAATGTGGTAGGGCAGTTTGGCTTGAGCAGTTTGTTGATGGTGGAGAAAAGATGTCTGGGGTTGTTTTGGTGATTTTTAATGATGTGAGAGAAGTAGGTGGATCTAGCAGACTCTATAGTAACCTTATATTCAGATAAGTAGTCTCTCCAAACCCGATAATGTACATGTAGGCCGGAAAGATGCCACCTACACTCAAGTTTGCGAGAGGCTGCCTTCATGGATTGCAGACGGTCATTGTACCAGGGGGCAGGGCGAGGGAAAGAGATGATTCGAGTTTTTAAAGGAGCAAAGGTGTCGAGGGTAGATAAGAGCATTGTCAAGTAACTGTATTTTGTCCTCTAGAGGGTCAGAGGAAGAGAAACAGGATAAGGAGAACAGAATTTGCAAACCTTGTGTGATCAATTGATCGCCAGTTGCGGAAATTTACAGAGCGTGGGGAGGAGGTGTTAGAAACAGGTAATTCCAGATTGAAGAGAATGGCTAAGTGGTCAGAGAGGCCTAGATCAAGGGGAGGGCAGTGGGAGAAAAAGGAGTCATTTGCAATAATTAGATCTAAGGAGTGTCCTTTGTTATGTGTAGGGGTACAAACACCTGAGTAAGGTCAAAGCATCCCAAAAGAGAAAGGAAGTCTTTAGCCAGACTGGAAGAGGTTGAATCAATGTGTACATTAAAGTCCACTAGAATAAGGATCCTTTTAAACTTAAGGCATAAGAATAAGAGAAAATCAGCAAACTCACCTAAGAAGGCTTCACTGGGTCTGGGTGGTCTATAAACTGTGGCAATAATAGTAGATTGGGGATAGAAACATTTAAAACAAGACACTCAAAAGAAGAGGGAGGAGGTATAGTAATAGGACTTATACTGTAAAAAAGGTTGTAAATAATGATGCCCCCGCCTCTGCCTGAAAGACGCGGAAGGTCAAACAAACCATATCCAGGAGGAACTAGTTGGTTGAACAGGAGTCCATCATTTTGTTTGTGCCATGTTTCGGTTAAACACAGAAGGTCCAGTTTTTTTTCTTTGATAATGTCACATAAAAGAAGAGCCTTGTTGTTAATGGAGCGGGTGTTTAGAAGCACTGATCTGGCCAGTCTCGGGGATGCAGGGGGAAGTGGAGTGCGGTCCAGGTGCAGTAGTGAGAGGAGATTTTTTAGATCGGCGCCGGTACGTGATGGACTTACAGACGTGCACCGAAAGGCAGGGATAGAGACTCCGCTGGCAGACAAACGAAAAAAACGGCATCCTGTGCTGCGATGGATCTAGCAACTCGGTCGTAAAAGTGAAACGGTAACAGTGAAACGGCAGTAATCAAATGTGTCTTTGACCAGGAAGTAGCTTTGTTTTAGTTGAAGAAGTTGCAGTGCAGTGTACCTCAGAGACATGATCAATGAATCGAAACGGGAAGAAAATCCAGGGAAGGCGGTAGCAAGTGGTGAAGGTCTTCAGTTGAGTAAATTCACGATGCAGTGGAAGTCGCATTTGTGAATTTGTAACGTGGAGTGGATAACGTGAAGCGGGTAAAAATAGATAAATTAGAAATCAGTGTAATCGAGGAGAAAAAGGTAAAAAAACATAAATAAGTAGATAAAAATGAAAAACTGGTGAGAGGAGCGGCAGCCAAATTCGTCAGCGTTCCCTCTTGACCAGAACCGGAACATCTGTCAATTTATAGAGTTCTCTACAAATCCTAAAAGGTAGTGATGCTCCAGGAGTTCTGTGCATTTGCTTGGTACCAAATATCCTCGCCACCTGAAGAACCCTCTACTATCTCTTCTGTTTTTGCAAACAGAAGGATGATCTGGGTAGGACAATTCCCTCCTCTTAGTTGTGTGATCACACCACAGTGAGCACAGTTCCTTGTCTGGATTCGTAGGAACCTTCAGTAAGGTAGATCTAAAAGAGACCAAAAATGACATCTCTTTTCAGCTCAATTTAAAGTTTTCGACATTAGCTCTGACCACAGCACTTTGCATTTCTGTCTTTCAGAGGCTTCAGAGGAGGTTGTGCCACAGGAGGCGGTGTGTCTGACAGTCCAGGGTGACGTCAAGAATGGAGAAGAGAAGATGCAGATGGAAGAAGTGATTGTTATACCCGAAGAGCACGTGCCTGACTCCAGCACAACACAGGTTAATCAATCAATCAAAGTTTATTTATCAAATGCACAACAGTACAGTGTGCAGCAATGAACTGTATTTACTACAAGCTCACTGGAGGGGGGGTGGGATAAAAATCACAAAATTAAAGTTACAAGATAAGGTTGCATAATAATAGTGCAATAGAAATGTAATAAGATAAACTCAAACAAAACTCAATATGAATAGAGGCGCTATGTGTCCAGGATGTATGCAATACATTATGTCCAGGTAGTGCGGTATGCCGAATACAATGAAAACTATGTCCATGTAGCCATTAAGGGTGATTTGCTAAAGGAGCTGCAGGTTGACTATGTAGCAGTCTTATTGAATGCTTCGATACCGTGTAGGTACGGTAGGAGAGAAAACAGTTTATGACTGGGGTTCTTGAGAATGGACCTGGCCTTCCTAAGACATCTAGCTGAGTAGATATCCTGGATGTTTGGTAGCTCACAGCCGGTAATGATGGTGTAATGCAAGGCCTTCTTATTGTGATTTATGCCAATAGGAAATGTTTTTGTAACCCCTCCTTGGATTTCTCTTCAGTGTGCAATGGTTTTCCCCAAACAACTGCTATATTTTTCCTTTGTTTCAAACTCTACAGCTATTACTACAGCTATGCTTGACTGTGATTTCCATTGCTGATCACTAACACTTGACATTTTTTTCCAGCATTTTAAGCTTTTTACCATGGTTAACTGTTTTTCAGCAATATCTTGTTGATCAGAGATCCATATTAGGTTTTGTTTCAGTTTGTTGCCAATGGAAAACATTGACTTTCCATTTCTTTTTCAGGTCAGATTGATGGAGTGTTCAGAGGGTGTAACATTATCATCTGTACCTGCCCAGAGCCGTGAGTTTTTATTTCTTAGAATAAAGAAATGATGTCAATTTTAGACTCTTGTAGAAAATCCCTGCCACTTGCCAACTGTGTGGGGTGTTTTGTTTCAAAATAAGCAGAGGAAGCGTTTGTTGCGCAGATAGCAGAGATGATATACTGTAACATAATGTAGTAAGTATTTTTCTGTCAATATTTGGGTAGTTTTATTTTCTGCTGAAAAGTCCTATATTTTCATCAGTTTTCTGTAGGCATTGTATTTTGCCAGGCTTTTGACCGAATGAAAAATTATTTACTTTTTGTATCTGTTAGCTTATTACTGCCAGCATCCCTAAATTGGTAGAAAAGTGGCAAAATGTGGCTGTTGTCTCTGCAGGTTTGGGCTGTAAAATGGAGGTTGGTGTTGCATCCTGCCTGCTGACTCCTTCTGCTTCCCCTGGAGATACAGACACAGCCGAGGAGCGCGTTCTGAACGGAGACCTGTGAGTTTCCCAGGGGGTGCAGGGCTGGGGCGAGAACAGACCAGACTTTCAGCCCAGGTGTTGCAAGACGTCCGTGTGTTGTGGTGTTCATGTCAACTAGGCGCTCCCCATTGCATACGCTTAGCAGACCCATTAATCAAACTTTTGTTATATTTTTATTTGTAACTTTTTTCAGCTTTGAAAATCCTGGGATGAAAGGGTCAACCATTTACCAGTGTCGCGCTTCAGAATACCACTCAGCTAGGTGAAATGTTTTAATGTTCAGGTATCGGCAGCCCATGCAAAAGCCTGCTTATAATCAATATTCGAAAACCATAGAATTGCCACCTGTATCTGTAAATAACCGTGTAAGTGCCTGAGATGAGCTCTTGCCATGTGTGCTACATGCACATCTTTTAACCTAAGAGTTGAATAAGTGTGTAAAAGTGACTGTGTGATCTTTTTGCATGCTAAGATACCTTAGCATGCAATATACTGTATATATATATAGTGTATATAAGTCTTGGTTTACACTGTTATTACAATTTAAACACAAGTTTTGCATTTAATTTTCATGCATCTTATTTACATTGCTGCCCTCCCTTCATTTTTAGTTCATGTTGCTCTTTGCCCTGTTCTACAGGTATTGTAAGAATAGCTGCTAAACAACCTGATGCTTGTGGTTGTTTACAGCCCCTGAACTATTTATTGAATCATTTGCATAGCTGTTAAGCTGACATAGAGAGCAGTGCAAAATAATTGCCTTGCCGCAAGGAGACATGGGTTTTGCAGTTGCAGTTTTTTTTTTGCGTTATGCCTATCCTGGCATCCATAAACATTTTATGCTAATAGGTATCACTTTAAAAATAATAAATTGTTAGAAAGTATAGGAAATAATTAATTATTTTAGTTAATGTATTTTTTTCTACGTTTGAATAATAAGGAAACAATTTAAATAACATCTGTTAAATTTGTAGACTTATTTTTGCAAATAGTAGAGCTATTTATTATTATGTATTATTTATTAACTGATTACAGCAACACTGACCAAAATGGGGAGAGATCAAAAGAAAAATGTTTTGTTTTTATAAGCATATTAGAGAGTAGTCTATGTTGGCAAATGCTGCTTGCGTTACAGTAAACACAAAAACCACTATCCAAGATCAGCAGATAGGCATATGGAAAACACAGAGGATCTGTCAGTCTTGTCTCTGGCAATGAGCACATTGTGCTTGCAAACCTGTCAAGGAAAGGAGAAGCAGATACCTGTCCTTTTTATTGTCAAGCCATGCTTTTAATTACAGTAAAGATATTTGACTACTCCAGTCAGATCAAACACAGAGTTGTAAATTGTAGGATCTTCAGAAACAGTGCAGTGCAAAACCCGCAGTCACACTGCTCCCTACACACTGCAGTGTAGACTTGGGTTGTTTCCAAGGTGCTTTCACATCCAAGCATTCATTGAGTAAGAAATTAGTAGCAGGGCCATTCAGTAATACAAGGCAATAAAATGACTACTTCAATGGTTTTTTTTAGAATTCAAGCCTGCTGTGAGGAGTGTTACTCTCTTGTGAAAGGAGATTCTTATTTCTCTGTCTCCACAGTTTTGTGAAGTCCGAGAAGCCCGGCATCGATCCAATGGACTGGACAGTCTCCGATGTGGTCAGCTACTTCACAGCCGCTGGTTTTGGAGAACAGGCAGGAGCTTTCAGGACGCAGGTCAGTGTCTAGTTTTACTTTTAGCCACAAGGGGGTAGCAATGGCACATTTTTTTAATAAGAGCTCATGTCTCGCACTACTGACCTAGTAGTGAGTATGTTCTTTTCAATTTTTTATACAAGAGGTCTTAAAGAACTTGAAAGATGCGTTGGCAACAAATCTGATATATTTATAAGCCAAGAAAGATTAATCTTTTTAGTCTATTTCAGCTAATTCTGTCAAGACATATTGGCAGTTTTGAAATTATGCTTCGAATCGTTATGTAGATGGGGTGGCAAGGTGACGCATTGGACTAAATGGGTAGCATTGCTGCCTTACAGAGGTAGGGCCCTGGGTTCAATTCCAGACCTGGGGTGCTATGTGCATGGAGTTTGTATCTTCATCCAGAAGAAAGACGAAGAAAGATCATCGTCTTTCTTCTGGATGATCCAGTTTCCTCCTGCAGTCCAAAGATAGACTTGTAGGTTAAGAGGCTTCTGGAAAAATGTTCTGTGTTGTGAGTGTGTGCCCTGTGATGGACTAGCATTCCATCAAGTTGATTGCCGAGATAGGATTGTGGGGGACCCCGAGCCTGATTTTTATGAAGTGGTTATAAAATCGATGGTTGTTGTCTAATATTTTCACAGTTCTCTGATCAGTTGTTTGTATGACTGGATTAGACAACTTATGACTGAAAATCATTTGAAACCTAGTAGATGTACTCACAGCACACTGTGTTAAATGCTGCCTCAACAATACTTGTTTCATCAGGTACATAAGTACTGGGTGAGAATTTACAGACTTGGATTAAAAAAAAGAGTAGACAAGCTAAATTCTCCAGTACACACACAGTGAGTGAATAAAATAACTGAACTCCACTGAATGTTATGAGTTGGGAATCCTTTTGCTGAACTTCTGATTTAAGAAGAATGAATGCTGTGAAGTCTGAGGACAGGTTAATCTAAACCGAACCACTGGGACCACTAAGGTTCTTAGTGCATTGTTTCTGTTGCAGTTAAGCAGCACCAGCAGAGGCTGAGGTTTTGGGTTTCTATCTTTTTTTTTGTGTATTATGTTTACTTATTCTTTGAGATAACATTTATTTTAATTAGAGTCTTTTGTTTCATATCATTGTTGTTTAAAAATAACTGATGGTAATTATCAAACAGAAATCAGTCTAGTTCTTAAGTTCTAAATTATTAAGAAGATGACAGACTGAAATGCAACCATATTTAATTGAGGGAAAGTAACAGGTGTTTACTTAAGAAAAGACACCTGTTTGAGATGTACAGCCACATGGTATAAAATCATGCCAAGTCTGTGAAGTCCGAAATTTTAAATTTTATTTACCTGGCTTGGAAAAATATGTTATTATTGTTAAAAAGCTTTTAACATAAAACTAACGTGGAGGTTGCAATGTATACAAAAGGTTTCTGAAGTATAAATAACGCTGTAATGTGTGCTACCAACAGTATAAATACTCAATAATACATATAATACATGTTTTTCTAAAGTGACATTGATCATTCTCAGTCCTGGTGGTAGTCCTTTCTACCTCCTAAGTACAGTTCTGATTTTATGTGAAGGCTATGTTGCTAGCAAATATTAGTTTACATTTTGAGTTCTTACAGTTATACTAGTTATACTTAGGGCGGAGCGGTGGCTCTGTGGCTAAGGATCTGCGCCTGTGACTGGAAGGTTGCCGGTTCAAATCCCGCGGCCGGCAGAGGAATCCTACTCCGTTGGGCCCCTGCGCAAGGCCCTTAACCCTAACTGCTCCAGGGGCGCCGTACAATGGCTGACTCTGCGCTCTGACCCTAAGCTTCTCTCCCTGTCTGTGTCTCCATGGAGGAAAGCTGGGGTATGCGAAAAGACGAATTCTTAATGCAAGAAATTGTATAGGGCTAATAAAGAAACATTAAAAACATTAAACTACAGCCATGCAGAAGTATGATGAAAATGGTTTTAATATGATTAGACCCAAATATCCCACCAGCCAAATGAGTCATCTGCCTCAGTGGCAGGCAACACTGCCTTGGGAACATTAGAACGTCTTCTGTTACCTCTGCTGTGGAAAACAATTCTCTTTCCCCTGGCTCTTTCTTATCTTGCCTTGTGAGTGTGGAATGAGCACAGCTCACGTTTGAGAGGAAAATACTGGAATTCAGGTTTTCTTTTCCTATAACTCCCATACAGTGTAGCCAGTCACAAACAATAGTACTGGGACCTGAATGTGAAAAGAGCCAATTGCAGGAGAATCCCTGGTAACAAGGACAGTTGAACACTTGGACACCATGCTTTGTGCTGAATGGTAATACTTTGATTAACTTGGAATTTCCATGTTTGAATATTGAACCAAAATTTAAATACTTGTTCTGTTACTCACATGAATAAATTTGAAAATCTTTTCAAATTTTTACTTTAATGTTACATAAATACTAATCTAACCTTTTCCTTACTGTCTGTTTTTTCCCTTGTTTTACAAATGATTATCTTGCCGACAGCTTATATATAGTTATAGATATATACTTCAAAAGGTATATTTTACTGAGAATTGTTTCTCTGTGTGATAAAGATTTATAAAGTGTCCTCACTTGTTCCCAAGTCCTTCATTCACCGTCTACATTTTGAATGCCCGTGTCAATTACCCTCATAGTCTTCTCTGTTCAGCACTATAAAGATAAAGTAATTTAAATCAATCTATGCAGTGCATTTATTTAAGGAAGATTACAAGATCAGCATTGCAGTGTTGCCAAGGCTGGCTCCCATCCCAGAGGTTGCTGGTTCAAATATTAGTTTATAAGCCAGCTGTAGTAGCTTCAGCAGCACATATAGAATGATACAAAGAAGATTAGCTGTCAACAAAATCTATTTGTAAAGGAGCAGCAAAGGCCACAATGTGTGTAGTCAGGCTGTTGTGGGAGTGGCTATCTTGTTTTTTAGTTATGGTTCTAGTAGTGGTATTTTTTTATTTCCCTTTTAATGGTTAAGCAAGAAAGGAAAAAGACCTCTTGTATATATTAAACTCTAGCTGGAACTTGACTGAAAATTATCCTGATATTTTTTTGCTCACACTGCCTTCATGTTAATTCACTCATAATAATTGTCCAACAATAACTGTAAGAATTATTTTTAAAATATACAAAAGCATTTAAATGAAAAAATAAAATATTTGGGGATTCAATTAAATTAAAAATGGATTTTTTTAAACATTTGCATTGTCAGAGAGTAAATTGCCAGCACAGTAAATTGAAAAAAGTGTTAACAGTAAATTGCAAAGTATTACTATTTGTTAATTTCTGAAGTACTTAACACCAGTGTAAGTTGTTTTGCTTTCTGTAAAATGTATAGGTCTTACTGATGACTTGTAAAGAGTACTAGAGTTCATACAAGAGCATAGTGACTCATCAGTTTTGCAGAATATAAGTATGTCTGTCTCCTCATTGGGCTCTGTTCCATCAAAGGTTAATTCACCAGCAATGTTATTACCCATTTATACAACTAGATACACTGGAACAATTGGGGTACATGAGCAGTGCACACACTGGGAGCTTTTTCACCGCGACTTCCTGCATCCAGTATGTAGCTGCGTCAAACACAACATGTTAAATTTCCCTTTAGTTTTGCACATTAAAGAGTTGGACAGAACAGGTGGTGCATTATTGGACATGTTTTTAAATCGCCTCTCTGTGGCTAAGGATCTGTACCTGTGGCTGGAAGGTTGTTGGTTCGTATCCTGTGGCTGGCAGAGGAATCCTACTCCGTTGGGCCCCTGAGTCTTAACCCCACCTGCTCCAGGGGCGCTGTATGAATGGCTGAGCCTGTGCTCTGACCCCAAGCTTCTCTCCCTGTCTGTGTGTCTCATGGAGAGCAAGTTGGGATATGCAAAAAGACAAAAAATCCTAATACAATAAATTGTATATGGCCAATAAAGTGATCTTATTTAAGACTGAAGTGCAGCAGGTCCCTTAGCCCTGACCACTGACTCTGCACTGTGAATCACTTCTGTGCTCCTCTGCTACAGTGATGCCTTTTTAATGGATCTTTTCTTAATGAAGGCGGTGGTGCAGAAGTTAGCATTGCTAGGGCTTAGGGCCCTGGGTTCAGTTCTAGACCTGGGCTGCTATCTGCATTGAGTATGTATGTTTGTCCCGTGTTCACATGGGTTTCCTCCAAGTGCTCCTGTGTCCTCTCACAGTCCAAACACATATGGCTAGATTAATTGGCTTCTGGGAACATTGACCCTGGTGCGTGTCTGTGGGTCTCCCTTCAATGGACTGCCATCCCATCCAGGGTGTACCCTGCCTGACTCTCAGCTGGAAGAAGCAGGTAGAAAATGGATGGATGTTTGAAAGTAAGCCAAAGAACAGCTTGCATTTGTGTAATATTTTACAATAATTAAAGTGTGTATTTACAAAATTATCTATTTTGGTAATGCTTTGCATTTATATGTGTTTTTAGACTTAAGAGTAGTTTAAGGTTTGTCGCAATGCAGATTACAGATGTATGTTAATTATTATTTTTTTACAGAAGATAAATTCATTGGTCTTGTAAAATTAGTGTAAAGCTTTTTTTCCCATCAGTTTTGTGTGCTGTATGAAACTTAAAAAGAAAAGGTAGGAAAGGTGGTCAATGGTACTTCTTGCATGTTAGTTTGTTGTGTTTCGAAAACATTTTATGTGGGTGACCAATGATGTACGCTAACCTCATGTCTGGGCTCTTATTGTGACAAAGTCCTTATTCTCCCAATTCTCAACATTCTGTTTGAATTTCCTTCCACAGGAAATTGATGGCAAATCCCTCCTCCTGATGCAGCGGAATGATGTACTGACAGGCCTGTCCATCAGACTAGGCCCCGCCCTCAAGATCTATGAATATCATGTGAAGGTGCTCCAGAGGACCCACTTCCAGGATGATAGCACCATCTGCTGATAGATCTCCACATCACCCCATTTTATGAACTTTTTAATGATGTGAAGAAGGTGCTGCTTTTTTCCGTGATAGGAATTGTATGATCTCAAGAAAAGCAGTAGGCGATGACGGAGCAGACACCTCATCCAACCATGATTAAGACCCTCGGCTTTGATTTTAGAGGACGGCCTCTTCATTCCTGCCTATGTGTTCCATTTCAAGACTGTCATTGCTGAAGCTTTCCAATTTTTTGCGTTGAAACCAGCGGTGTGGCCTCCCCTGACTTGCTGACACCCAGACCTTTTAACCCATTTCTTCCTCACAGTGACTCTCTCATTGACAGCAGGCAAGGGTTCCTTCAAGCTGGACTCTTGACAACACATTTATCCATTTTCAAGGTTACTTTACAGAGGTCACACATCACTTTTTGTACTAATGCTGTATTTTATAAGGATTTTTGGAAGTGGTTATGTCAAAAGAATCCCCTTCCCTATTTATGAATCCTTTTTTTTGGCATTGTTATAAGCTTTTTAAATTTAAAATTAATTTCCCATAAAATTCCAGTTTTGATAACTATTTGTTGCCATACGCTTTAAAAACTGAGTTAATGTTTGTGTAAGTGATGCTTCTTTATAACTGTCTAGTGATGTATAAGCAAAATATAAAGTGTGTGAGCAGCTGCCCACTTCACGCCTCTGATTGTCCATATTTCCTCTTTTCTTTTGTACTGTGCTGGGCATCAGTAAGCTACCTAATCAATCCTAATCAATCAGTCAATCCTTTATGCAGCTGTAAACTTACCAAAAACTTTTTGGCCTTCTTTCTGTAAAGCTCCTAAGTATGCTGGATCTGATCTAATATATAGGGAACATAATGCATCAACACATGTTTTTTAAACTTTTTTCATTGGTGTTGATTGTAGAGTTTGTTGCAATATTATTCATAAGATAAGACCTAAACTGTTTGTAAAGCAAATACAAAATTAGTTTTTGATACCATTTCTTTTACATGCAAAAAGTTTTCAAATTGGAGGAAGCCATTTGCCCCATCTTCCTCAAAGCTTGTCGATCCGTAGGTAGAGAGTTCAGTAAAATACACAGCATGCTTTTGGTAAAATTTCACTTTTCCACTTTTGAAAGAGTTATCTTAAACTTATTTGAATTACGCAAAGCAAGGAAGAATTCAGTTTGGTACACAACGTGGTACAAAGCTAAAAAATTCAGAGGCCTAATATGATGGGCTTGATACTCATGTACTACTCAGTGTGACATGATTGGCAGTGTTTTGATGCATCATTTGTTTCCTTTACTGGGAAATTTAAGTGATAGTTCTCAGATCTTTGTCAGCTTATCGGTTTTCTACTTGACCTTCTTACTGTGTCAAGGGAGCATCCCTAAACTAACAGAAATGTGGTTGAAATTAACCGCATGAAATGCTTATTTTAAAGCCTATGAAAAATAGCAAATATTATCAATGCAAGGTTCACTTTAGTGCTGTCCTCAGCCTTTTACAATATACGTGTTCTCTTTTAAATAATTCCCAGAAACTTGACAGCAGATCCACACAAAATGTCAGCCAGATCGAATTTTGTTAAATTACATTCTCAGATCTAGGTAACACATTTAGGTCCCTACAATTTAGATTGCATTAGGTATTAAATTTAGTCCCTAAAAATGAGACAGTTGAATGATTATACTGTTTAAGAATAGGTTCCTTTTGAGTTTGTATGTACACGAATTTAGTGTAACAAATAACATAAGGACCTGGAAACAGTTCTCCTCAGCTCTGTTCCTCAGGTAGAGCCGTCCCATATGTTTTGTTTGTGTTATTAAATAACCAGCATCGCAGTATCTGAGGGAGAGCGCTAAGCTATTACGATTCAGACTCTTTATGTATTTAGTCTTCCTAGATAACTTCCTACATACAGGTCAGAGGCTTGTGCTGATTTAAAGAGACCTATCACACCTGCTAGACTGTTGTCTAAGGGTTTTAAATGGCAAATGATAAGGACGGATCTTTCTAATGGAAACATTTTGTTAATTTTGGTAATGTGGGGTGCCCACAAAGCTTTGATTGTGTTGAATCTTTCTGCTTCAGAGTGCATTTTATCAGTAAAAAACTGCCAGTGTAATAGTACTCCTAAATGGCTCTAAGTGACAAAACCTACTTCTAAATTCTTAAAAAATAGAAAACTTTATCCATGGAGCTGGAGCATCTCCCGGTAAGCAATGGGCACAAGGTAGGATACACCTTGGATGGGACACCAGTCAATCGCGGAGCATACACAGACACACACACTCACACCAGGGCTTTTCCCAGAAACCAATTAACCTATCAGTATGGCTTTGAACTATGGGAGGAAACTGGAGCACCCAGTGGAAACTCACGTGAACATGGGGAGATCATGTTAACTCTACACAGCACCCCAGGTCCAAAATTGAACCCAGGGGCCCCACTTCGGACAGTATAATAGTTATGCTTGGTTCCCCATAGCTTTTAAAACCTGGGCTAATTTCTTGAGTGGGGGTGCTTTCTGTGTATTTTCATACTCTGGGTGCTTGTATCCCTTCACCTTCCAAACACAATAGCAAAGATAATTGGTGTCTCTGAATTGATTCCGTGTGTATGCCCTACGATTAAGTGGTATCTGGGTTGGGATATAATCCCATTTTGCACCCTGTACTCTAGGTTGCCATGAATCTTACAAGAATATTTTGGTTCTCATGTTTAAATTTGGCTGACCTGAATGCTTTTCCAAAAAGGATCTCATCTACAAATAGTAATGTAAAAAAAGTCAGCTAATGGATACAGGCTTTTACATTAACAATGGTAATAGCTACAGTATTCCACCTCTCCCATACCATTCTAAGAAAGAAAATTATTTCAATCCGTGCCAACAGTGAAAATGAAGCATCCACAAGGTCAAACAGCTGTATTGCAGACCAATCATTATTTAATTTCTCAATATGAGAATATTCAGGGATTGTTTTATTGAAATTATTAAACATATCCACTTGTATTAAAAAAACAATGGAAACATCTGGGAATATTTTCCCAGACTTAAATTAAAAAGAAAACTGATTTGCTTAAGTAAAATGTTTTTTTCAAAGAAACTCTACGTTTTATTGGAATTTTTACATTTTGTTCTATTACATTATTACTTGTAACTGAGTCAACATTTCCCTCTCAGCTAGAAAATTGAATATGGCTTTTATCAAGTGAATTGATTGATGTACGAGAGCCAGTGAAAACCTGGGACAAGCCAAGTAGTGAATAGTTTACTTCTTTTAAATGGGTATCTTGAAAGAGAGCACCGGAAAAGTGCACAGCAAATAACTAGGGCTTTCAGGAGTCAAAGAAAATATAATGAATGTATTGATAGTTACCCTTCAGAATGTGAATCTTGTAATGTCAAGTTAAATATTGGTGAAGTTTGTATAATGGAGGAAAAAAACAGAGTTCTGAGCCCTCCAGAAGTCTCAAAAGGGCAATGGAAATTAGAGCCATCAGCCTTTCTGATCTACAGGAAGTGATCTACAGTAGATGAGTGGTACGTTGGAGGTTTTGTATTACTTTTCTTGCTGGAACACTTAACAGACATTGTAAAAAGGGAAAGTACTTTTGTATGGGAAAAACAACATTCTATTCTTCAGTATAATGAAACCTCAGGAAGGTAAATACTGGGAAAATACATTGTTTTGCACCATGATTAATGGCCCAGAGTTAATTCAAATTAAATGAATTGGTCTGATGTCTGTCTATGCTACAGTGTTGAAATATTGAATAATCTTGATAGGAAAGTGCAAGAGAAGACTTTAACCAGCAGTGAACTGGTCTTGAAACAAGTCAGTGATACATTGATACATCTGCACCTCAATATAGGAAGGAACATCAATTAAAAGGAAGATTTTCATTAAAATTGTTTTACATTACATGCTGATTCTGTTCTGAAGTTCTGAATGAGTTCAGCAAAATCCCTAAGTGCATGTTTGACCATTTTTGCGTGTAAATGAAGGATAAATTATTGCATAATTGTTTGAACAAGAGGCTGGTGGTGGGTGCTCAAAATGAAATCTTACTGACAACCTTACTACCATGTACTATCCAGTTTATAAACAACTGTCATATAAGTCATATAAAGTCATATAAACAAGACTTCTACCAGCAAGTACACTGAAGGGAATTAAACTTTTTTTTCTTTTGGTATAGTTTTGTCTGTTAATGTCACACTGGCTTGTAGACACTGCCTTGATTTTCAATTTGAGGAAAAGGAAGACCAACAGCATGATAACCTGGAAATTCTTCGTTGAAAAATGTTCACAGTTGTAGTTCACTCAACCAATTCACTTAATGATTTCAATCATAAGAGCCTATACAAATTGAAATTTGTACACAGTGATTGTACATGGTTGTTTTCTTAGATGAGCACAACCTAGAAATTTGAAGAGTGCCATTTGCAGGAGAAATAAATCATATATAATTTAACTTAATTCACGTATTCTCATCCATGCTCTTCTGTTCTACTATTTAAATATTTCAAAGCTACCATTTAAACTTCTGAAAACAAAGTTCAGGAAGTACAAAAAATAGTTTAAAGATAAATTGTCTTGAAAAAACTTTTTTCCATGACTAGTGCAATTTTCTATCTGCTATTCTAATTAGTTTTTATTAATAATTTTATTAATATAGTGTATGTATGTCAGGGAGGGGGTTAACTTTGAAAGTGAGAAAAGGGGTCTTCCTGTCTGTATTAAGTACATACAGTATCTCAATTTCATTGAATAGAAATGACTGGTTTCCTTTGATTCGGTGGCTCTGTGGCTAAGGATCTGCGCCTGTGGCTGGAAGGTTGCCAGTTTGTATCCCACAGCCGGCAGAGGAATCGTACTCCGTTGGGCCCCTGCGAAAGCCCCTTAACCCCAACTGCTCCAGGGACACTGTATAAATGGCTGAGCCTCAAGCTTCTTTTCCTGTCTGTGTGTCTCATGGAGAACAAGTTGGGGTATGTGAAAAGACAAAGAGTCTTAATACAAGAAATTGTATATGGCCAATTAAGTGATCTTAAAAAATTATGGTAAGACAACATGTTAATTCTCTTGGTAATTTTGTTTTATGTGCTCTGCAGACATTAATGTATGGCAAAAACAAAATCAAAAGTGGAACGAAACATATTTAAAAGGAAAAATAAACAAGAATAAACATCTGAATGCTAACAATGTGTTGATAAGGTTCATGGCAGAGTGAGTGAAACTGCTGATAATGACTTGTATTTATTCAACTAGCCAGCCAAGAACATGTAAAGTAAAAAAAAGGGCAGTGTCACAGATTCTGTATTTGGTTGAGGTAGGATTTTGAAACGCACCCAAGGATCGTGGGTTTTAAAATATGTTTTAATTTCTTTTCAAAAAGAAACATCAAAATGGGATAGCATTTCAAGTATGCCACATGTCACAAGGGTTATGGGTTTTAACTTTGTTCTTTCAAAGAATCCTTGTAAATGAGTATCACATTTAAAATGCTTCTTCAAAACAGAAATAATAGTTTTCTTTGTAATGCATTCTCCTTGCGTTGATTGGGTGATTTTAAATGGGAATAAAGGCTCAAAGTTTTTGTTGATATTATGGCTTTTATTTGTTCAGTGCTGAGTTAATGTCTGTACAGGATATTGGTTGAATTTGTTTTTCT